CAGGATTTCACCCTAGGAGTTTCTGGTTCAGAGTTTTGTGAAGAGATCACATATCTCTCTGTTTCTAATTACAATACTTGGCATTTATTTCATCTTCTTTTTCTTCACTGCTGTCACCTTTTCTTTAGCTGCACTAGTCTGGCTCTGAGTAGGAAACCTGGCAGTGATCTAAAATTATCCATTAGTTGGTTTCCAGGCACAGTTGACTGCTAGAGTGCACATGAATATTCGCTTCTATGCACATGTCTTCATGAAGGTCCAACATAAGCTACTGCATTGTGATCATCAGCTACAGCCCTGGTTCACATACAAGAGATTCTTAGAGAAGTATTTCAGTGAAAAGTAAAGTAGAGAGAAAACACAAAATCTGAGCAATCAAGAGAAGGTGGTTCTTACAGGAACCTACAATACAAATACATGAAAGGATAAAGGATTGAGGTAGAGCACAATAGACATTACATATACATATATATAAAAATATGTATTTTAAATGGGGGCATTTTGGAGTGTTTCCTCTGCAGAAGTTAACAGGGAGCATTCACTAAAAAAAAGTTACGTAGAAAGTTCAATTGCCCTCTGAAGTGTTATTGTGCCAAACATGGAGGTTAAATTCAAATATTACAATGAAAAAGGATCTTAATATTATTTCAAATGCAAATCTCAACACAGCCTTAGGAGAAGAGTCACTATGGACATATATTTCTCTCAACATTTATGTTGTTTTAGATAATATTTCTGATTACTATGAAATAAATGTTAGGATGTAAGACCATTCACAAAGTTTCTCAATAAATGTTACAAGTACATATAATATTTTAACAGTTATGTAATCAGCTCTTTCCTCTTATATACATGTCCCTGTCCCATCGGGATCCTTGCCTCTCCTCTCTCCCACCTTTGTTCCCCCACTTTCTGAAATCAATAGGAGATACAGGTGCTCAGCATGTATTAGGATCAGATCTGAAGTAAAATGCACTAGCGAATTTATTCAGTGGCATTCTAGGTCTATGTTTCAGTGGGGCATTGCCACTTGCTTTAAATCTAAGGGTGCTCATTATTAAGGGCACTTCTTAAGATGTCCCTCCATGCTGCTGCCTAAGTTCCCTCTAAGCTGCGCGGCCACGCACCAACCTATTCAGTGCCACGCAGGCTCTCAGGGCCAGCCCTGGACCTGCCATGGCCCGGAGGAGAGGCGCCCCTCCCCAGCCCAGTCCAGGACCTGCCATGGCCAGGGGCAGAACCGCCCCTCCCCCGGACCTGCTGCAGCCAGGGGGAGAGGCGCCCCTCCCCTGGGCCCAACCCAGCCCTGGCCCGGAGCTACCACGAGAAGAGGCGCCTTTTCCCCCCCAGCCGAGGTGCTGCTGTGGGGAGAGAGAGCTGTGGGGAGTCACACATCACCTCCATATTGGGTGCACATAAAATTCATTCTGCATATGCGTGGGAAAAATTAGAGGGAACATTGGCTGCTGCTTTGGAATGTCATAACAAAACATGCACAGACAGTATTTGCATCACTAAAAGGTACTTTTCAAAATGCCCCTAGGCATTCTGCTGCCCTTGCTAGCCCAGTGCAGTAAATCCCTGAGGCTACTGTTGTTTTAGAGCCTCTTACTGGAATGTGCGCTGGTACGACAGCCTGGGTCACTGGTGCAGCCGCTGAAAGATGCCATTCTCTTGCATAACACACATAGAATCAGAATGCATATTAAAGTAAAACAAATACATTTGATCATTTGTTTGAATGGGGCTGTTCCCCATACACATGCACAGTGTTGTAGTACTGCTTTATTGTTAGAACCTCCAAACTACACAGAAATGTTTAAAAATACAAATTTGATTTGTATTAGCTCACCAGTGCAGAGAAGATTAAATCAAGGAGCGGTATTTTTGTTTTTTTACCTTTGAAGCTCTGAAGCCATCCATAAGTTCTACAATTTTTGATGGGAATTTAGCTGGATATTCCATCACTCCACTCTGATTTTCCACAGCCACTGTACAAACAGGCTTGATGCTACCACTGTTTACTGGCGTATGAATGGCTCCTGAGAGGGGCACCCCATTCCTTTCTAATTTGTTAGCACTTTTATGCTGCATGGGATTTGAAGAGTCACTCTCTCCATCACTGAGGTTCTCAAAAGTCTCGACAGAGGGGATAGAGTCATGCTTGACATGCTGTATGGTATGTTTGAGGGGTGGATAATACAACTCCGCTAACTTTTTGCAGAAGTGATTCAGAGGAAAGCCCACCACGTTCAAGAAGTCTCCATGAACATATTCCACTAACATTCCACCAAGGGCCTGGATTCCATAACCACCAGCTTTGTCCCTGCGGGGGGAAAAATACAGACATTTAGTTAAGACAATGGTTAAGAGTGAATGTGGGGATGGAGGAAAGGAGTAACCACTTAGTACTGATTGTAAATCCAGGCGTATGAACATGTTTTATAAGAATGGAAATGGCAGAACTTTGCCTTGATTGAACTAGTGTGTTAAAGCTAGAGATGGATTAAACTAACTTGTGACGGTCCTGGTTCAACACTGCAGCTTTGGAAGTAATGCTTGCTCTTTCACTACATAACACTAGATAATTGAGTTCAAATGAGAAAGCCATCGTTACCCACTAGTCCATATTCAACCCTGGTGTAACTCTGTCAGGGCCGGTGCAAGGATATTTTGCGCCCTAGGCGAAACTTCCACCTTGCGCCCCGCCCCGCACATCGGTTCATTGAGGGGCAAATCCCAACAAGCCTTTATAGACCCCAGGGGCCAGCCTGCCCAGGAGCCAACCATGCCCAGGGGCTGCTCCCCAGACCAGGTTCCCCCCTCCCTGCCCCCTGAAGGGTGCATAACCCTCCCGTGAGCCCTCCCCTCCCCACCCTGGCGGCCCCCGCCCCGAGTCCACTCATTGGCTTTGCCGGGCTTGGGCCGCTGCAGCAGCTCGGCAGGGAGAAGCCACCTTCCCGAGGCACAGGAGAGCCAGAGCGTCGGCTTGCGGCAGCGGTGAGCCCCAGCCATGGAGGAGTCCACGCGGCACAGGGGGGCAGCAGTCCTGCAAAGGCGGCAGCGCCGCTAGCGGGAAGCAGCCACACCTCTGACCCCTCCTGCTCAGGCTGCGGCCAGCGCCCCCCCCCGCCCCCCGGGGGCTCCTGCAGTGGATGCATGCGGGCAGAGGACCCCGTGTGTCCCCCGGCTCCTCCCTCGCCGCGCTCAGGCTCTGCGGCTCCCGGGAGTGTGAGCTGCTGCCTTTGCTGCCCCTCCCAGAGCAGACTCAGGGCCCTGCACCCCGGTAGTGGCTCACATGCCCGGGAGACGCAGACCCCGAGCACAGCGAGGGGGGAGCTGAGGGGCGCACGTGGGCCTCTGCCCGCATGCACCTGCTGCAGCCTGCAGGAGTCCCTGGGGAGGGCGCCAGGCTGCAGCCTGGGCAGGAGGGGCAAGGGGCGTGGCTGCTCCCCGCTAGCAGTGCCCTGCCACCTTTGCAGGGCTCCTGCCCCCGTGTGCCGCACCGGCTCCTCCATGGCTGGGGCTCGCCGCCCCCACAAACCGACGCTCTGGCTCTCCGGTAGGCAGCTCCTCCCTGCCGAGCCAGGGCACCGCTTTTTGGCGCCCCCAGGGCCGTCCTTAGGATTTATGGGGCCCTATGCAGTATTATTAAACTGGTGCCCCTATGCCCGACGGCAGCCTGAGCTTGCAGCCTGGTGGGGGTGGAGGGACAAAGCAGAAAGAATAACAAGACGCCCGGCCCACCTCACGGTGGCGGAGAGTCACAGTTCCCCCAGAGATCCCTGTACCCTCTCCCTCACGCAGAATGGACATGCAGAAGGTACCTAATTAAAAGCACTACATTTGAGAATAAAAAATGTCAGTCACAGGTTTTTTGATATGCCCTGAAGTTTGTCAGACATTTATTTGCAAAAACTTTGTAGTAAGGGTGAGTCAGCTGTCTTGCTGAATACAGCATTAAATATTATGGAATACATGATGCAGCTCTTCTCTGTTTTACATTTTCTTAATCAGTATTTCTAAGCTGATTTTATATTTTAAATGTACTCTTAAACCTTCATAAAGTAATCATTCCAGATTACTACATATTTAACTCACTGAAACAGACATTATTTTAAATTAATCAGTTACAGAGGGTTAGTGTGTTCATAACAATGTTCCTTTCTTTTAGAAAAAGGAACACTAATTTACTGTGTGTGATCTCCATAACAATACACGTTTATGAAATTTCACCAACTTTAAAAAATATGTTTCCAAAGATTTTAGGCATAACAAAGGATTTTATATCTTACTAAGGTACTGATTTTGCTTAAAACTACTTCATCAGATAGTCAGAAGTAAAGAAAGGGAAACTCTTTGTCCAGCTATCTGGGAGCAAGGGGCTGTTGTCCGTTTAAGGGCTCTCTTCAATGGGGATAGGGGGAGAGGGGGTGAAGGGAGAAATGGATGAACAGAAAGGACTGGAAGACTTTGGAAGTAAGTTTTTTACTATAGTAATTTAAAATGTGTATTTTAGATAAGGGAGGTCTTTTGAAGGATTTATTTAAAAAACCATATGTCTGAAGATTCAAGCATTTAAGGCTAAAGATGATTGTGCATCTAAAAATCTATGCAAGGATTTTTTAGAGATGTGATTTTATAATCTTCACCAACTCACTAATGAAATATTTTTAAAGCAAATTTTAAACTAAGATACTGTAGACTGACATGTCCTGAGTAAATATGACAGTCATGCACAACTGTTTTTGTCAGTACATTCAGAAACTGACAGTATATACCTGGGGGTTGGCAAATGCCTGTTAAGTGGCTTCATTACCCCTTGAATGGCTCTTTAACAGTTTCAGTGTTGTGCTAATAGGTCTGGCAGGCTGGAGGCTTTTTCTCTTTTAACTATTAGATCCCCTTCCCAGGAAGACTCAGACTGCAGGAAGGATCAGAACAGGGATAGGAAAACCAGAAGAGTGGACACTAAGGGTACGTCTACACTTACCTCCGCGTCTGACGGCAGGCAATCGATGTTCTGGGATCGATTTATCGCGTCTTGTCTAGACGCGATAAATCAATCCCGGATGTGCTCGCCGTCGACGCCAGTACTCCAGCTCAGCGAGAGGAGTACGTGGCATCGACGGGGGAGCCTTCCTGCCACGTCTGGACCCGCGGTAAGTTCGGACTAAGGTACTTCGAATTCAATAACGTAGCTGAATTTGCATACCTTAGTCCGAAGTGGGGGGGTAGTGTGGACCAGGCCAAAGACCCAGTGGGCGCCCCCAACCACTTGGCTTTCGCCTAGTGGTTGCACCGGCCCTGAACTCTGTAGAAATCAATGAGATCCTGGTCCAAGACTTTTTAGTAAGCAGACTAACCCTCCAGTAGTGTAATGCCATTCTGACTTTCACTAAGGTGACATGCATGAGCTATGTTGTGGCCACCCACAGCAAGCACATTATTTTGCTAGGGAAGATCTGATAAAAAGTCAGCACTGGAAGTCAGGAGAGAACCCCTTTCTAGCATTTTACTTCAGTCCTCTCCCACTGCAAGAGGTGCTGTCAGACTTTCAACTACCAAGGTTTACCCTTGGCATAAATTCACTGATCAACAATATATGCAGCAATGCTTTTAGCCTAGTGCCTCACCATCTGCCTGTACGTAACTGCACACAATGCCACATATTATTACTTATCCACTGTTTCTATTTGTAGAGTGAAAGGTTATATGCACTGACAAGAGTTAAAATTCCCTCCCACTGGTTTCCTAATAATTCCTCCAGTGCTAAGCTTCAAGGAATTGGTAAATATTTACACTTTACACACACATTCACAATGGCTTTTTTAGCTCTAGCAGTGAACTAACTTGTTGACATTTCAGACTAGATGAATTTACTGATATGTGGTGATCACAGACCTTTTTCTAAAGCAGTCTTTTAGGGTTATCAATTATGCAAGAGCAGCAGACTACATCAATTCACCTACATTGGATCTTGCAACTAAGAAGAATGCCCTTGAGGACCTTGACTTTTTAACCACTGTTAAACATCCTCTTTTAAAAAAAAAAAAATGCAACTCACTAATGTCAGTGTTGTACCAAAACATGCTTCACTGACTGCCCTTGGATGTGATTCCTCCAGAGGTCAAGGGGAGCCATGTGCACATCCAATACGTTCTACAAGCAATGAAAAGGGATGCAGTATTGAACTGGAGCCAAATGGCTAACACAGCTTTGACAGGTACAGAGAGGCAGCAGGTCAACTGTCTTTTCATACAGAGACCAGATCCAACTTCAGAAACTTGATGGGTTAAGCCAGGTTCCAAATTAACTCTGGGTGCAAGGTTGACTTCAATAAAACTGTGCCTGCTTATGCAAGCTGTAACTTTGGCCTTTATTCTTTGAGAGTCTGGGGCTGAAACCCACAGGCTGTCCATGTGCCTATCTTTGCTATGGATTATAATTAAGCACAGAGTTTGAAAAATCCGCTCTCCTACGCTCCGGTGGTAGGTAGGAAGCTTTTCTTGGCAAGTGTGATGCTAGGACGAGAAAGTGCCATGGGTGCAAACTAAGCTTTCATTTAAGGAGTTAAATATCTAGCCCTGGTGGTTACAATGATAACTTTACAAATATGAACCAAGCAGTGCTGTCCTCCTAGATAGGCAGGTGGAGAGACTGGCAGTTTGCAATGGCTTTTTCTGGCTTTAGCATTGAACTATTTCTTATAAAGTTTGCTCATGATACCAAGCTGGGAGGGGCTGGAAGTGCATTGGAGGAGAGGATTAGAATTCAAAATGATCTTGACAAACTGGAGAAATGGTCTGAAATAAATAGGATGAAATTCAATAAGGACAAAATGCAAAGTATTACAATTAGGAAGGAACAATCAATCAGTTGAACACTTACAAAATGGGAAATGACTGCCTAGGAAAGAGTACTGCGGAAAGGTTCTGGGGGGTATGGTGGATCACAAACTAAATATAAGTCAACATGTACCACTTTTGCAAAAAAAAAGCGAACGTCATTCTGGGATGTAGTATCAGAAGTGTTGTATGCCAGACATGAGAAGTAATTCTTCTACTCTACTCAGCACTGATAAGGCCTCAGCTGGAGTACTGTATCCAGTTCTGGGCACCACACTTCAGGAAAGATGTGAACAAATTGGAGCAAGTCCAGAGGAGAGCAAGAAAAATGATAAAAGGTCTAGAACATATGATCTATGAAGAAAGATTGAAGAAATTGGGTTTGTTTAGTCTGGAGAAGAGAAGACTGGGGGGCGGGGGGAGAGACATATGATAACAGTCTTCAAGTACATAAAAGGTGATTATAAAGAGGAGGGTG